GCGGCTGAGCCACGCAGTCAGTTGAGAATCAGCATTGCACTTGCTCGCGTGCAGTGTTAACTATGGCCATTGTCCTCAAAAGATGTTTTGCTGGTTTCGAAAGTTCAGATCACGTGGAGCCTGTTTAAACCAAATGGCCCCGAGCCCCATCTTGAACCGAATAGCATGCAAACTAGGTACATTAACTCGATTTAATCGATGCATACAAATGGAATACTGTAAAGAAAGGCACGCGCAAATCAAATGACCGTAAATTAGCATTGTGTCTTATAGGCCCTAGCCCTAGCCTTAAAACCACCCGCGAGAGCTTCATAGTAAATATACAATGGAACAGATGTCATAAGATGAAGTGTTCTGACAAAAAAGCCAGCCAAAATATATCAATGAATATTTATAGTAATTTAATAATTGCATTGAAACATCATGATTCTTCTTCAAAATGGTTTTATGATTGTTTATGTTCTAACATGATGTCACGCTCTCAATTTGTACAGTGTACACAATGGGTTAACGGTAGAAAAAAAATGAGTAAACTAGATTTGTCAGTTTGAAGCTGTGCAGCGTGCGCAATGAACAGTGCACAGCATGTGGTAGGAATGAGGTCACCAGTTACATACAAAGTATCAAATATATCCAATGGCTGTCAATATTCAGCATCGCCACTAGCCCCATCCACATGAAGCTTGGCGCCAGCCCGTCTCTAATGAGCTTCCATAAATTCCGCAGATGTCAGTGCCGACTATTTTATGCAGCATCTCCTGTCACCAGGCCATTATTCACTGCTGGCCTGGCACAAATGAGTGACTGATTGCCCCGCAAAGGCCAAAACTACTGATAATAACCACACAATCATCAACTCTACTGACGCCGTAGATTAACAGCCAATCAAGCACATCAGCGGTCTCGTCCATCACACGCGCTCGCTCAGGAGGACGCGCCGATACCAGTGTCTAAAAGGTGCAGCAGACGACCGTGAAGCTGTTGGTGCGTGCCGGCGCAGCACCGAAAACATAGACATGTGACCGATGAGGCCAGGCAGCGGCGGCCGCCGAAAATCCGGTTCCCCTGGGCTAGACAAAACCCGGAGAACTCCAGCAAAAGAGCTTACATATTGTTCTTTCATCGTTCTGCTGGCGAAAATCTGCTTGAGGAACGCAAAATACCGCAGGCCCACCCAGCGCACCACTACAGAGTGTCCCAGAATTACCCTAACATTTCTTTGCTGGCTAAAAGTACGATTGCGCTCGATTCTAATGATATACAAGCATCATACTTTTATAAGATATCCCTTAGCTATAGAGCCTGGGGACTGTGTGCTTTTGGTGACCGATAACGACTCGAGTCAATTATTATCCAGTCAAGCAAGAGTAGTCCCTTCCCGTTTTCAGCACAAGCCACTAATATGCAACCATGGTGAATCAACTCCCGTTCTCAACTTTGTAAACGGACTTTCGGCATGGTTTTTGCTGGAGAGCTTCAGCAGCTCATCTGCAAGCAGTTAGGATTGAGCAAAGCGCAATTATATCAGCTAACGAAGCCAGAGAGAGCAAGAGATAAACCTGATTGACAAGCTTGGGCTCGGCCAAAAAGGGTCATGCACCAGTTGTCAAACGGGTGGTTGCTTGTTATGGACAACAAACGTCACCGATCTAGCTAAAAACTAGCTAAACGATTGATCAGGATTATCTACAAAACATCAGTCTACTTTGCACCACTATCTTCAACAAAATTTTGGAATTTGGGGTCCTTCGCCTGAAAAATATGCGAAAACTACGGGAAAAGCAGCGCAAATCACTACAATTCATCCCAAAAACATCACCTATTGTGTTTTATGTGTTTTAACACATACATTCATCCCAAAAACAAATACAACAGAAAAAGCACATTGAAGCACACTTTGTGGTCTAGCGAAGGTATTCTGTCATTTGAACCGCCCGAAAAAGGCGTGTGTGAACGTCCGATGGCTACAACGCCCCAACAGCAGAGACGGCCAGGCACCCGTCGAAAATCAAATTGTGAGACATTTTGAGCCACCGTGCACTCATTCGGCTTGATATGATGGCCCAAAGACAACTGTTAACACAGAGTACTACTGTAGTAATATTTTACGAGTACAAAAACTGGATGCCGTGAACCAACTGGGCATGAACGGGTTTGTTTTGGAAACCAAATCTGTTGGAAGCCAAAGGTCGCGCCATGTTCAGACATGGAGCTTCTCCACTTCAGATGTAAAAAACGCGGCAAAAGTGGTGTAGGCAGAAATTTTTGATTTGGGGGATAATGCCTTATGGCCTGGGAAAACTTTGATGTTAAGTTTATCTTATATGATCGCATTATCCTCCGGCAAGCTAGAGGTCAAAGAAAACAGGCCTACACCCAGTTTCGGGAGACCCGTAAAACAACTGAGACCAGCAATGCCGCTGGCATTTCCCATCATTGTCGGCTGATCTTGTAACAAGCGTATCTATTGCATGTTATATAGTAAGACCCATAAAACAACTGAGACCAGCAATGCCGCTGGCATTTTCCATCACTGACGGGCGACGGGTGATCTTGTAACAAGCGTATCTATTGCATGTGCTATTTCACAGCCACCCTAGTTGAATGACGAGAAAAAGGAAAAAAAAAAGCGCAATCATGTTTGCCTTATTTTATACGCTTATTAACAATGTTCGGGTAATTCTGGTAATTCACCCTGTAAGTTCGCATATAACAAATAGAAACGTGCGCACATCAACTGTGATAGATCATAGAGTGATGTGAAATGTCACATCAAATGTGGTGGAGTCGAGCCTTTCAAAACGATAATTAGTTACATACCCTCGATAGGTAACCTATTTAACTTGATCCCGTAAATGAAAAGCTAAGACAGGCTGACTTGCTGGAGAGACCTGCGATACGCAGGCACGGAATCGGGAAGCCAACGAATAACGATTTCTGTTTTCTGCCGTCACGGGCCACAATGATCTGCCGCCGAGCCTGCGCAACATGGGACCGCGAAAGGCTCCGCAGATACCTTCCCGCAAAACAGCAAAACGAGTAGTGTGATGCACTAATGTGATGTGAACCGGGTGTGTGCTTGCGTGAATGTGTGCGTGAGTTGTGTATCCATTCCGAATCCCGATGTTCCGTCTTTATGACATGCCAATCATAATAGCCATGTGTTCATGGACCGATTGCACGATGCAAATGCATACATACATACATACATACATACATGCAAATACATACATACATACATACATACATACATACAAATACATACATACAATTTTAACTGTAAAATATGTTTCACTTAATTTCTAGTTTCTAATTGAATTACTGAATTATTGAATTAGTGGTCCCGTTTAGTTGAAACAGAATAGGTGTACCAATGCTTTGCTAATTAAGGACTGAAGTCTGAAAAACATCGTAAAGAAAAATGTATATATGAATTAACCATATAAAAAAGCTTGACAGGCATTCTGTTCCACATTTTCGCTACATCTTATTTTGGGCAGGTGAGATTTTGGAAAGGATGGGACAAATCCAGGATGCTTGAAAACACAAGAAAATCCACATGCAAGGGATATATTTTAGAGCATTCGTCTTTGAAACGAGGCCATGGAAACACAACAACTTCAAGCTGCCGGAAAAGAACAACCTAAATATTATAGCACATTACAGCCATAACTGATATCATTCTTTCGCGTCGCCTGAGCTATTCCCACACCCCATAGCACTGATATCGAGCACGAAAAAGTCGTCCCGCTGATGACCGTTTATCCGCTGGGAGGCTAGGACATCCCCGGGCGGAGGACGAAGTTGGCTCTGGGAGCCAACGGTATCAGCCCGTCAGCAACCTATCAATAGTCTGTCACTAACCTCACAACAGTCTGCCTCCATCCCAGACGGCAGGCATGGCGGGCTACATTCACTCAGAGGCGCGGGGCGATCACAGCTCTCCAGTAGTTTATCAAAAGACTAGGTCTCAAATATCAACCATCGCCCCTATTGTGCTTCTCACAGCCGCAAAGCCAAGAACGTATGGGACAAAGGGAAAGATCGGACCCCTTCAAAGTTCAATGCACATCGACTATTCTATTGAGTACACCAGTGTCATAAAAAATGTCCCACTGCGGAGTTATTTGTACTTTCGCTAGAGTTATGTGGGGGGGGGGGGAATGGGGGAGGTCATCCCTTAACAGCCCCGCACTCCCAATGAATTGGAAGACTTCCCACGCATGCCCTCCTCCTAAACTCCCGTCCAGGCGGAGTCGCCGGCCCGGCCGCCGATCTTCACCGTCAGCAGCGGCACAGACAGCGTGCCAGCAGCCGTCCCGCCCCAGTCGGAGGCGCCGCTGACTGCTGGGTGACCGAGCTGGACGCCCACCAGCCAATGCTGACGTCAGCAGAGGGGACGGGTCCTCCAGGAAACCCGGACACAGCTCGGTCCCGTTCACTACCTCTAGTCCTGCTCGCTGGCGCAAACGGATCCCATCAGCTCGAACCTAATGCCACTGAGCGGTACACTGACTGCGGCAGCTTCTCGAGATCGGGCGACAAAAGACGGGAGATATTTGTGAGCTCGGGACGATTATTACATATTTTTAGAGGCATCTGCGTGGCTGTTGGCTGACAGCGCTCGATCAAACGGTTCCATTATCACTGTGACTGGCAGTAATATAACTGTGCCCTCACTGAGCGCACACTGCCAGGCAATAGACTTTTTCTCCGGTAGCTTGAAATGTTATTAAGGCGGCTAGGAACGTCAATCAGAACTTAGTTTAACTGGATAATGGAGAGCTGCGGTGTAGGTAGTTACCGCAGCAGAGAAATAAGACGAGTTTGGGAATTTCAAAGTTGTTCTTAGTTAGGTACTTTTCTCTCCCACTCTGACACCACCGTTCACCCTCTCTCCCACCAGGGGCCCGCCGCCAGACCGCCACCTGCGCTCCTCGACACTCGGGCACTCGTGCGAGCACTTCCCATCTTCCAGTGAGAGACTCCCCAACACTCACGTGAGCGATGCGCAGACTGCTGAGGAAGTTGGACTCTCCGTTGGGCGTGACCTCGTGCAGTTTGGAGAGAATGCGTCCGGCATCTGTGGTGAGGGTGGTCAGCACCTGACCCCTGCGGCGAGAAAGGCCGTCAGACACAGTGGTGGGGTGTGACGCTCGAGCGCAGCGCCGCCAGGGGCGGGTGAGTCACCCGACGATGGAAAAGTCCGAGCGATAGACCGAACAGATTATACACGGGCATCTACAACTTTAGCTGATCCCGGTACAACATGTAAAGTATGCACGCTCCACGCTCCGCACATCCTGTCACTTAAATCCATTGACAGTTTGAGACGCATGCTGCTTATGTGTAACAGGGGAAAACCATACTTTTTCACAGAGGTACGGTCACTTGATGTGACCTGGTGACCGTTTTTTACCTGAAGCTTAACCCTCGCACGACCAGGCCATTTCTCATAACACGAACGACCAGGGGGGGGGGGGTTGTTACGACCCCCCCCCCCTGGCGTTTCGAAACGGAAGGTCGTAGAGCTTAGCGGAAAAAACCAACGGATTGCTCTCAACGAGATCTCGCGATTGGTGGTATATTTTTTGGTCCTAGGTCAACATTTGACCTACTTTTGACCGGTCAAAGGTCAAATTTTCGGAAAAATAGACTTTTTTCAACTTTCCGCGGCGATTGCGGCAAAACGGTGGGAGATATCGACTTGAAACCTTCACTATCGTGTTCCTTGATCGATTCTCTATCGTTTGGTATGTCTTTCGTTTCTCTAGCTCTAAAAATGGCGCGTTGGGAGCGCCGGAAGTCGGCAAGGTCACAGTCGGCGGCAGAAATTCGAAAAATCAAAATTTAAATTTTTGAAATCTGATTGTATTTTTGGATTTGGGAGGTCCATTTGCTCCCTATAGAAGCTAATATTGCTGCATATTCCCATTGAGGTGACAAGAATTAGCAAAATAGTGGTTCGGGCGCTTTTCAAAAATAGTACCGGACGCTGTTCCTCTTGTGACGTCATAGCTCCGTGACCTGACCTGACCCGGTCACATTTCTTATACCATATGATAGCCAATACTTGCCCCAACATGCATGGGAAGTTTCATCACGATCCATCAACCGATGTCCGTACCACCGGCAGGAAACCTCGGGCGTTGGCACTCAGTTTGTGAAAATCCGGCCGGAGGCTGTACCTCTTATGACGTCATAACTCCGTGACCTGACATGACCCGATCAATTTTTTTTCAGCAAAAGATGCGTAAAGGTTGCCCCAGAGGGTATTGAAAATTTCAGCCCGCTACGACAAGCCGTTTAGCGTGCACTTCGAAAAAAACCTCAGGGGGGGGGGGTTGATACACCCCCCCCCCCTAGGCGTTCTAGGGCTAACGTTTTCATGTCCGAAAAAGATGCGTTTGGGAAAGGAATGAAGTCCCGATAAAAAAAATAGAGGTTGGTGTAAGAGCACTCTTCCTACAACATGGTACGTGGGATGAAATTACAAAGTCGACATGTGTTTGTCAAAACATATTCATTCGTTAATACATATATATATATTTTTTTTAATCAAAGATCTAGCACCACCATGGGCTATTCGTCGTCGAGTACAATCATAGTAGCCCGTCGGTGATGTGCTGCCACCTGTTCCGGTGCACAACACCATACGAGCGCACATGATCCCGCAGGTGGCAGCAGAGTCGACAGCTAACATCCTGGGAACAAATCTACAGCAACTTGCCACGAGCGAGCGCGAAGGCCGGAGCGCCAAATGAAGTTCTTCGTAAATTACCGGAAAATTCTGAGCGTCAGCGGCCGACCCGCCGTGGTCAGGCTTTCAGGGGCTGATGGCTCAACAGTCATTGGACCGATTTCCATGCGGTCTTTTTTTTGTAGGGTCACTCAATCTCTTTGACTAAGATTGGACTCGTCCCGATGTCTGTAATGGGGATAGTCCCTATTCCCTTACTGCACATGTCTCGGGCAAAATGAAGAGGTGTTAATTTTCTTTCCATTACGATGGCTCGGTAACTATTGGGCCGATTGCGCTGAAACATGACATACTGGCGGGTAGTCGCCAGACAATGTATTATATGAATCATAGTTGGGGTGCTACTGCGCGTGCGAATGTGCTGATGCAGGGGTCGCTTCCAGACCTTGAGAACACATAGGCCGATTGCACTCACATCTTACTTAATGAATTTGATATAAAGTTAGGGATAACTCAGCCAAGTGAGTACAGTGCCGGGCACACGTCACTCGGGACCCAGTCTGCATGTGCACATGAAAGCCGCTTACACATCTTGAGAATGGCTGAGCAGGACACACTCAAAGTTGGTACAAAATCAGGGACTAGATAGAAGCATCATAGCATGACACACAAAAGTTATCTGCAGGTCTCACTTAATTAGTTAATTCTTCTGCATATGCAAAACTCAATCTCACACTCACTCACTAATTAGTCAGCTCAAAAGTCAAAAGGCTCCTTACTGGTGCATTTCAATTGAGTTTTTTCATTGAATCACTTTTATAAGGGTTGTGTGGTCCCAACTGGTTATGCTCACAGCAGTCAGCTGCAAGTATGTGGCCATCATGTCACTGGTCTGGACTGCTGCTCACTCACCCGGCGGAGGTAATGAGGCCACAGTTGTTCTCCGGATTGGAGCGCGTCTTGGCATGGCACACCATACCGACGGCATCTTGCTGGGCCTGAATGCGCGATGGCACAAAATCGCCATTGCGCATGTAGTCACTATTATCAATGCTGTAGGTAAAAATACGATGGGTTAATGATTGTAAGTGTGGTTGCCTACCAGGGCCTGCATTTTTACTGGAAGAAATATGGTTTTGCCATTTGCTGGTTTGAATCAGTGTTACAATGTTAGTGTCAGTGTTACAAGAAGCAAAAAACTGGCAAAAAATATAAATTATACCAAATATTTTGCTTAGGAGTGCCATTGAACAGCTAACATGTTAGGGAGGATTCAAATATGCTATGAGAAAACCAGCAACATGCTGAAAAAAATGATATAGAACAGCACTCATAAGTATATGTCTTGGGTTTGACTTATTATCCGTCTGAATCCGGGCTATTGTGCTCTTTCCATTCCTGAACAGGTATGACACTGAAGAGGGTTTGTGAGCATATTCTAGACAGTACAATGAAGTGAGTAATGTGCGTATGTATGTACCTATGTATTAACGATCATGGGTGATCCACACATTGACATTGACATGGCGCGGCAATTACCCAATTCATAGAGTACCTATCATAGAACAACCCTTGGTTAGGCAAGCTCAGAGACAAAATAGAATGGATAGAATGTTTGTATGCAAATGTAGAAAATGATGAAAATGAACTTATAAACTGAGTCACGAGAAAAAAGTAAATTCAAATTGAAAAAGAAGGCACGACAATAATACCGGCACGATGTACGAAAGAAAGTGGTAAAGAAACTGGCTTACCATATCATAGTACTTTCAAGTACCATGATTTTCAATTCTCCCTCTCTCCTGGTGCTTGAATAATCCACAAAGAATCCTCCAAAGCCTAAATATACCGAAATTATTACGGATTTTCACTCCGGCGCCCTTCTGCCGTTTTTATCTCTTTCTCTTATTTGCCCGTCATGTTTCAAGGATCCAGAAATAGCTGTTAAATAATGGTAATAGCTGTTCAATGACGTCATTGAATACAAATTGTAAAATCAAGCAAAACTAAAGAAAAACGCAAAAACAGAGAGTCATGCAGACAAAGTGTTCCAAAAAGTACAACACATTTGTTTATGGTTTAAAATCCCCACTTTAAATGCTTAATGCTTATTTCTTACATGGGAACTTGAAGACAAGACCTTTGGAGCGATGACGTAAGATGATCAAGTTTTGTAAATCTTATTGGAAATATATTTTGTTCCAAATATGAATCAAAGGTGCTCGTGAAATGAGAACTCTTTGGTAATTGGCTAGTTTCTGCTCGTTCTTCCGTTGCTGCGTCAGCGTCAGCCGCAAACCCTTCAATAGAAAAGCCACAAGATCTGAAAAGACCAGAAAAGACACGGTCGTCAAGTTAGATGTAAGTGAATCCTAATCTATAATCTAAGATTCGGAATCAGGTGAGCCCCTACGATTTGGACCAAACTTGGTCAGTGCATAGTACGTAACGTCCTGATTACGATGCACCCAAAATCTAAGCTCGGCCCGCCATATTTACGAAGTTACGGATGTTTGAATTTCAAGGTCATTCGGGAGAGCCCCTGCGATTTCCGTCAAAATTTGTGTACGGACACTCTAGATATTCCTCATTACGAATATCACAAAATTTAAGCTCGGCCCGCCATATTTACGAAGTTACGGAGGTTTGAATTTCAAGGTCATTTGGGTGAGCCCCTGCGATTTCCGTCAAAATTGGTATACGAGCATATTACATCCTCCTCATTACAAATATCATAAAAGTTAAGCTCGTCCCGCCATATTTTTCAAGCTACGGAGTCACAAAGTTACGGAATTTCAAGGTCATTCGGAGAGCCCCTCCGATTTTCGTCAAAATTTGTATGCGGACACATTACATGCTCCTCATTACGAATATCGTAAAAGCTAAGCTCGGCCCGCACTATTTCAAAAGTTACTGACGTTTGAAACTCACTGAAATTCAAACATCTCTAACTTTTGAAATAGTGCGGGCCGAGCTTAGCTTTTACCATGGATTAGAGATTCCTGGATCGGCAACTCTCCGTCGGCGCCTTTGATGTAAGCGACCACGGCTGGCCACCTAGCGGCGGAGTGGTGAAGCTTGGTGAGATAGGACGGCGGAGGGTTGGGCGCTAAACCCTATGGTAAACTGCGGGCCAAGCTCAATCGAATTTAGGGATTGAACGGCTGGGTGCGGTGTGTTAAAACGAAGTTATGGTGTCGGAAACGTCCAGTAAGTCCATATTTGTCCTCAACGAAGTAATCGGAGCATTGGGGTAAGACATTTTGCCTCGGTAGAGGACATGCGTGTGCAGTCGCCAGGCTCTTATGCCGGCGTAAAATGCACGCATCGCCATCTTTTGAAAACACACTGTTCCATCTTTTCCATCCTCAGGATAGTCAAATCCTATTCCTCCACGCCTCAACCCCCTGATCCAGGCTGGACGGGCAACTTAATCCCATGCGGGCAGCCGTCTACTGGAGCACACCCGTAGCCGGATGTAGTGAGTAGTCAGTAGTGGGGGGGGGAGGGGCTGGTCGACCCGTCCATTCGGACGGGCTCAGCCCCGGCGACTCACTAGAGTGCCTGCCAAGACCAATGTCCCAATGTAAGGTCAAATCGGGTGTTGACATCAGGTCAAGGTCAGATCAAAGTCACTTGGGTCAAGAAGTTGATTGAAGGAGGCTGTGTTGCATACCTTTTATTCGATTCAATAGGTCTTCCTGAGTCCAATCCATTGATGACTTTCGCGACTCGCTAAGCTAACTCGATTTGATAGGGAGTAATTGACGAAGAACTTTGATTACCTTGTTGACGTCACGCAAGGTTAAATAGATAGTGCAAAAGTTAAACATCGTACCTCGCACGGAGCGTACAGTTACGATTTCATGCGATTCGCATGCGAGATACCTAGTCTTAGATCATTTTCGGCGCCAAAATAACAGTTTCCATAGTTCCCCGCATTGACTTAGAGGCTTATGATGGTGAGGTCCTGTAAGCGACCTGACCTCAGGTGCCCTTTAAGAAAAATCAAATATATACAAGTGAAGAGGTCTAGGGAGCAGGGCTGCGGAGTCGGAGTCGGTCGAAGTCGACAGTCCTGACCGGAGCCGGAGTCGGAGTCGATTTTGCGAACCGGAGTCTAGCCGCCGAAAATCCAGAGACTCCGCAGACCTGGCAAGGCTGCAGAGTCGGAGTCGAAGTTGAAGTCGGTCGGAGTCGACAGATCTGCCCGGAGTGGGAGTAGAAGTCGGAGTCGGAGTCATCGAAAATCCATCGACTCTGCAGCCCTGCTAAGTTTCATCTTCAAGTGAAAATCGTCTGGCACTGAGGGCGTTGCGAAGTTGCAGCATTGAACTATTTTAGGACCGTGCAGAACGGCAGAGGTTTACGTATGACGTCATAGGTCAGTGACCTGACCTGACCTGAAAATGTGGTTGATGTCACAAGGTCCGGCTTGAATCAAAGGCCTGGTGTTCCAAGTTTCAGCTCTTTATCACCAGCGCAATCCGACCAATCGCGAAAAAACCGTCAGGGTGGGGCGACGCCTGAGTGACCCGCCCCCCTTCCCGTCGGCCGGAGAGGGTTAAGATGTTGAAGCTAAATGCTTCTCAACACATAAAGATCATGAAAAACAGTCCCGTTATCCTTTATGAGTTGAACTTCGAAGATAAACTGCTCAAAAACCACCCAACCAACCCGTCCCATCATTGGAACGCATAGCCGCCAAACACCGGCGTCCTATCTGGAGTTGGCGCATGCGCACTGCGATATTTGGTCGCGAATCGAGGGAGAGTTGCCAATCCAGTAAATACTTCATCCATGGCTTTTACGATATTCGTAATGAGGAGCATGTAATGTGTCCGCATACAAATTTTGACGAAAATCGGAGGGGCTCTCCGAATGACCTTGAAATTCCGTAACTTGGTGACTCCGTAACTTGAAAAATATGGCGGGCCGAGCTTAACTTTTATGATATTTGTAATGAGGAGGATGTAATATGTCCGCATACCAACTTTGACGGAAATCGCAGAGGCTCACTCAAATGACCTTGAAATTCAAACCTCCGTAACTTCGTAAATATGGCGGGCCGAGCTTAAATTTTGTGATATTCGTAGTGAGAAGCATCTAGAGTGTCCGTACACAAATTTTGACGGAAATCGCAGGGGCTCTCCCGAATGACCTTGAAATTCAAACATCCGTAACTTCGTAAATATGGCGGGCCGAGCTTAGATTTTGGGTGCATCGTAATCAGGACGCTACGTACTATCCACTGACCAAGTTTGGTCCAAATCGTAGGGGCTCACCTGATTCCGAATCTTAGATTATAGATTAGGATTCACTTACATCTAACTTGACGACCGTAGAAAAGACGAATGCGCTCCGTCATGCATCGTGCATATGTCGTCAAGCTGTGTCAAGCATTGCTGCACGCGGGTTGCGGGGCGCATCAAGTTACGGTAATTTGCATTGCAGCTGTATGAATTGGTGTGATTCTAGGCCGTGAATAGGGTGTGATTGTTATAGGGTGAAGACTTCCGCTGGCGTCTAACGAACTGAGTAGACGACGTCCAAGTTGGCGTCTAACGTCAACGTGGTCACCACGTCGTGGTGTCTAACTCAGTCGGGGGAGGTTTGGTCAATCGTTGTCATTTTTAGCACGTGCTATTTTTGTCACACGTGCTAAAAATGACAACGATTCTGCTATTTTTGACAACGATGAGGCCGATTTCACTCCTCAGCGAGGAAATGAAGATTTTGGAAAGATAAACACTGATTTTGGAAAAGAAGTGCTGCCACCTGGTGCAAGACGAAGAATCCAGCTTTAATATGCCTGTTATTTGTATGGTAGTTTGTTTTGTGGCCTGAAGTTGGAACTTAAAATTGAAGCATCCGAAAATGATCGATATTGATTGAAAACATGATGTTGATGAAAAAAATAATATTTTAAGTTGAGAGAGGAGGCCATTTTATCCAGATGCAGTAGTTTACTTCTTGAAATTATTTTTGCTAATGACGGCTGCTAATTATCCCTCATTACATGGCAGTCGTCGTAAGCAAAAATAATTTCAAGAAGTAAACCACCGCATCTGGATAAAATGGCCTCCTCTCTCAACTTAACATATTATTTTTTTCATCAACATCATGATTTCGATCAATATCGATCATTTTCGGATGCTTCAATTTAAAGTTCCAACTTCGGGCCACAAAAAAGGGTATACTTCAACGTTGGACTACCATACAAACAACGGCCATATTAAAGCTGGTTTCTTCTTCTTGCACCAGGTGGCAGCACTTCTTTTCCAAAATCAGTGCTTGTATTTCCAAAATCGTGATTTCCTCGCTGAGGAGTGAAATCGGCTTCATCGTTGCTAAAAATAGCTGATAGCGTTGTCATTTTTAGCACATGGTTGCCAAAAATGGCATGTGCTAAAAATGACAACCATTGACCAAACCTCCCCCAACTGAACTGTTGGACAGAGACTTCCAAGGGTGGACGTTCGGGGGAGGTAAATCAAAAAAGAGGGCAGGTATCTTGAAACTGCAACACATATTGTAGCACTTTTTAATAATATTATCTCTAATTATTGTAGGGTGTTAATGATTACATTCTGTAAGCTATATGTTTCTAAACTTGTATTGCTAATTTTTCTGGTAATTCAGGGACCATTACCGCTGCATGCCCCGCAGTCACCTCTACAGAATGGCCCCACTTCCAAGCTAGATGCATCTAAAGTTAGCCGTCGCCATATAGATGCAGCCCTCATCCAGCTCAAGCTAGATGCGTCTAAGACTTAAACGTGTCCAGCTAGACGCGAAATGGAAGTTTCCACCAATAATCTTTTTTTTACAGAAAACAACAATTTTTCCATCGGTTAGACATGTTAATCCACGTGCATGTGTTGACACATGGTCCCCCTAGGTACTTAAAGAAACACCTAAGGAAAGGAAGGGGAA